TCGCATCTGCCTCCATCTCCACTTTAATAGGTCAGTGGTTCAGTTACCTTGGCCACAGAATTGCCAAGTTGCTATCATCGCCAGCCTCTCATTTCCATGAGAAAGGGAGAGAAAAGAAACCTTTAACAAGGTAATATGAGTGTTTTTGTTATTCTGTAACGCTAAACACATAAACAAAGGCAGCGGAAGGAAACTGATGGAACGGAGCTGAACTCTGAGAACAGGGACACGGAGAGCAAATGAAATAAGGATGAGCAGGTGAGATCAGCATTTTGACATTTCGCCTATTCAGAAAACCTGAATGAGCAAGTGGGACAGCAAACAGCTATCGGCTCTTTCTCTCCCCTTCAACATAGCAGCAGCAGCGGCAGCAAGGCAATGTTTTTTTCCTAAGATCTGATCAAAGGCTTGTGCAATTCCCAGCACACTATAAATCAGATGACAAAAGCCTAGAGTGTTCATCTTAACAGCCTCAAATTCCTTGGGCCTTCCCAAACTCATGCTTTTTTGGCTCCCTCCTCCCGGCCGTTAGACAGCTCTGCCAGATAACCTATACTACCCACTCACTTAACTCTGGAAAGACTGCTGTCTGGCCAGACTTGGCCATGAGTTGAGTTGAAATGGCAGGACTCTCCTTACCTGTGTGTTGGGGTAGACTTGAAATCCAAGACTAGGCCCTGCTTCCCTGCCAGGTGATGAAGTGAATATGTTAAGTGTGAGGATGTATTTTAATTGATCTCCCCGATAGCCCGTGGATGGGAAGACCAAACATCACAGCCTCACTCCTTGGTGGGCTTTTTGTTGCTGTTTCAGCCTCCTGCCTCACCTCAGCACTCCAAATGCTGGGGTCACCAGCGTGGGCTTTGGTGTTGAACTCTCCTGGGTTGTTTTTTCCCACTAACACTTTCACCCGACTTTCCCCACAAGGTCAGCAATTGGCCACCACTAAATGAAAGCTTTTTAGCATGACTTCTAATTGGAGAATGAGTCAGTTCCCGCTGCCAAAGAAGCCTCCCAGTTGATCTCAGAAGCTGGAACCAGAGAGGGTGTTGCAAAAGGTAAAAGGCAACCCCTGGTCCACACCCTAGACTGCCTAGGATTAGGTCAAGTGGTAGACGCCACTCCAGGGCCACAACCAGGTCTCAACACTCAACTAAATGTGAAAGAGCCTACCCTCCCAGCAACTTTCATTTCTTTTTCTTGCTTTTAAACTAGAATCATAGCTGGGTGGTGGTGGCAAAAGCCTTTACTCCCAGCACTCGGGAGGCAGAGGCAGGCGGATCTCTGTCTGTGAGTTCCAGGCCACCCTGGTCTACATGTGTGAGTTCCAGCACAGCCTCCAAAACAATACAGAGAAACCCTATCTCGAAAAACAAAACCAAAAAACAAATAAACTAGGTAATCATGTCATACCGCCCGTGCTGGCAGGCCCTAAACTTGAGATCTGACTCAAGATCCTGAGTGCTGGGGCTTAGAGGAGAACACACATTTTCCAGGAGGCTGGAAGAACAGGAGGACACTGGCAGCTGGGGTCGCTTCCTAATCTTTTCTCCCAACAGGGCACATAGCACATGCTCACCCAGCTCTAATACTCATTTCCAGAGGGCAACCAGTCTGCTCACTTTTTTTGTATGTGTAAGTATGCTGTTCCGTTTTGAAAGCCGCGAAGGAGCTGTTAGTCTTAGCCAGCTCCGTAGTGGAGCAATTAGAGTAATGGAGCAAAATACCAGATGGCTACTTTGGGGTCCAAAAGAAAATGGAGGGTGACTTACAGAAAAACAAAACACTATCAGAACTTTCAAATAATTAACTCGCATTTAATACAGGCTGAGCCAAAGGTCAGGGTCTAACCCCGAGGTCCATAAACAATGGTGTGCCAATGAACACTCAGAACAAGGTGTTTCCTCTTGCTGTGAGAGGCAATTTGGGGGTAACTCTCAGAGAACTCACCCTTTCCACGGGAGCAGGAGATGTTACCGAAGCCACTTTAAGAAAGTGGTCCACAGCCACACCATCCTAAGTAAGGGTCGGGTCTACTTAGTACTTGCAAGGAACAACTAGGAAAAGGAACTAGAGACACTCTTAACTGCTCAAGAGTTTGCTTACAGAGGCCTGAAGTTCCAAGCTATTCAGGAGACTGAGGCACATGGACCACCTGCACCCTGGATTCAGGGAAAGCCTGTACATAAACCTAGACTGAAACAATACTACTAAAACCTTTTTAAAGACCAGGTCAGTCACCCGTCCCCCCAGTGTTCAAGGATACCCCATGAACACCTGTTGCATAACCTCCATCTTGATAATGCCTTGGGTATAGGGGCCCCTAGAATTTAGAGCAAATGCTTTCCAGATAAGATACACACTCTTGACTTGGGTCAATTCCTGCTTCAGCTGTTCTGGCCACAGAATTTTAGAGTGTGTCAGCAGGTATGTCCAAGACTGTCACTCTCCTTGTGCCAGGAGGGCCTACCTGCCTTGGAGAGGCAAGAAAGGCAATCTGTCATTCACAGTCACAAAAGTTGCACTGGAACATGGGAGAGGCATAGCCACGAAACAAAAGAGGAAAGTCCTAGCAATCCCACTGGGGGTTGGGCTGGGGCTCCTGCAAGAAGGAAAAAGGTACCTACTGATATATGACTCCTTCCCCCACAGCACCCATGCGGGACAGGGTGCAGAGGTGAAGCAATACTTTTCCCCTAAAGGACAGCTAAGTGTAAATATTTGCTGGAGTGGGTTATAAAGCAAGCTCACTAGAGCCAGGCCTCACAGAGCAGTCCGAGGACGCTATGAGCCACCCTGGCCGTCAGCCTTTCCCAGACGGAAAGGAAGGATCCAGGAAGGAGCAGGGAAGAATGACCCAGGGGCTCTGGTTACCGCCAGGGCCCGGAAGCACACCAGCCTCACCACGAGCACTCCCAAAGCACACACCCTTGCTGCCTCAAGAGCGGGGTACAAGAACCGAGGCACAGGAGGTGGGTGGAAAGATGTGGAAGGGGGGGTGCCCTACTCATATCATCCAAGAAAAAAAAGGGGGGTGGCACATCATCCTAAACATTAGAAAAGAAAGATCCAAGACATTCTCAAAGCCGATGCTGTAACCCAGTTTCCTTCCAACTTTCCGAGTCTCTTGGCAACTTCCAACCCTTTCCAATCCGTCATGGCCTTAGGCAATAAATTACTGTTGGGATCCAGACTAGATCTCCCCTTCCATTCAAACTATGTTCCCTCATCAGCTATCAACACACCCACTGTCCAGTAAAAAGGTGAGAGACACCACTGCGACCTTCCACCCATCAGAACTGCTCACAACATTCAAGCTGAGGTTGGTGACTGAGTCAAGGTTACACCAGGCCTCGCCTCAGGCTACCCAGGCAACAACAGCTCCTTCCAACACTGCCCCTCCAGACTGGGTGACTAGGCCCAGACACACAGCACCAACTTCCTGGAGTCTGCCCCCAGGGGGATCTGGGAAAATGTCACCAAACCAGCTCTCTCTAATGTCCTCAGGGTCCCGCTCCCAAAGTCCCAACTCCATGCATATCCCCTTGGCAGTCACCAAAAGACGCCCTTCTGAACACCTCCTTTTTATACATGACATTGCCCTAAGAAATCCTGTTCCAGCTGTCCCACAGATACCTACAATTTCCTGGGAGAAGTTCTTCTCTATCAAGAAATCTGGTCTGATGAAAACAGTCTCCAGAACCCATTTTTACCCCACCCATTTTGAGCATATCTTGCAGACTCACTCCTCCAGCCTGGGCCAAGGTCAGCCCACAGAGGGTCCTCCAGGTAACGCCAGCACCTGCCCCAGCTCCTGGGACTTCACAATTGGTACCACCTCTCCAGGCTTAAGTGGACACCTCTTCAGGACACTTGGTCTGTCCAGCAGCTGGGACCCCCACCCTCTGGTTTTCCAAGATGCCACAATAAAGGGCCCATTTGCTCTTTTTCCTGACATTCACCTTCGTCAGTACAATTAGGGCCGATGACAACAATCTATTTTTTTTTCTCCTAGCAACCTGTCTTGTCCACCTCAAGGAACAGGTGCCTGAGGTTTCCAGGATGGCAGCTAACCAGATGCTTCTTCACCCACACCTTCCACTGAGCGTGAACCCACCAACTCCGGACTCTCCCGCTCCCCCACACCTTCCCTTGTCAGCAGGAAGAAACCAGACACGACCAGTGTGCATATACCCAAAGAGTCTGGGATGCTATGGTAAAACCTTTGCCCCAGCCCCCGGCATCCAGATACCCAAAGAGTCTGGGATGTTAAGGTAGAGGGTCCACCCAAACCCCCTCCCCCATCCCCCTTCAAACCCTGCTGCATCTCAGAAAGCCCGCCAAATAATGACCCATCCCCCAGAGGTGCTCAAGACCACTCCCACAGGGTATTTAAACTGCCCCCCAGAAAACAGACCGGTGGTTTTTCCGGTCTCCCTTCCCCTTCTCTCTGGGGGGCTGGAAGGCCATTCGGGAGTGTTGCATCCATTAAACATGGGCTCTAATTCGTCTTGATTTGGGTTGTGCATCGGCGGAGAGGCTTATCCGGCTATAGAAACTTTACAGCCTGACCTCCAGACCATCTCCACACTGGGGTTCCAAACCCCCCCAATGCCCCAACACAACCCGGGCTTCCCAGTTCCCTTCCTGGACCCAGCTGCTTGCCTGGGCCCTACCAACCCTCCCTCTGACCCTGCAATCCCGCCTTAAAACCCAGTTCTATTTCAATCTCTCGAACCATCTCGGGTGCCCCAGTTCCCCGCCCAGCCTTCCACAGTCTCGGGCAGGTTTCCCGTGTATCATACCTGGCCGCCGCCGCTTCTTGTTTTTGTTTTTCCTTCAGATTGCCAATTGCTTCCTCAACCTTTGCTATCCCTCTCCGGGACTCCAAATCCCTTCCCGGTCCCGCCAACTGTTCGGAGCCCCCTCCCTCCAGCGCCTCCCCGACCCCCTCCCCCCCCCGCAGGACGCCACCCAGCCCGGCCCGCGAGGCCACGCACCTTGCGCTGCTGCTTCTCCCAGGCCGGGTCCAACAGCAGGTCCCGGTCCCAGTCATCCTCCTGGGCCATGTAGTCGCCCATGCTGCCGCCGCCGCCCGCGCCATTGCCGCCGCTGCTCGGGCCGTACTGGTACGCCTGGTTCGCCGCGTGGTAGTCCACCATACCGCCGCCTGTCGCTATCCCGCCAGCCGGTCCGCTCCCGCCTCAGCTCCCGCCCCTGTGCCGGAGCCTCCGACTCGGACGTCGCTTCAGCTGCTTTTAGCCCGCCCAAGCCTGCCGCCTGCGCAGTACACCCGCGACGCCTGCGCACTGAGCCGCCGCCGCCGCCGCCCTCCCGCGCGCGCGCACCCGAGGAGCCCGGCGCGACCCCGTGCGCTCGGCGCCTGCGCACATCACACCTCCGGCCGCCCGCCTAGCGTGGGAGCCTAGGCGCTTCTCTCGCGTGAACGCGCGCGTCGCCCTCCCCCCCCCTCCCGGGGGTGGGTGGGCGGGGCCCAAGTTATGAATGATTCATAAGGCGGGGCCCGTCATCCGGCTTTAACCTGTTCCGGGGTGGAATGTGCTCCCGTTCAGCCATTCAGACATAATCAGGATTTATTAGCTGCCCACTGTGTGCGAGGCTGCGTTTTTTATGCCTTGGCACTAAAGAAGTCAGGAAAAGCCCCCCGTGTAACTAGCTTCTAGAAGCCCTGCATGAAGGGACACGGGGCCTCTGTTCTCAGGAAGGACATAGCATGTTTGGAGCCAGCCTGGGTTATATAGGGAGACTCCTGTCTCAAATTAAATAAATGGTCAAGCTTAAGGGAATGGTGACAAGTATCTGTGATTCCAGCACTTGGGAGGTGTGGGCAGGGGGATCAGAAACTCAAGGCCAAGCCGGACTTTAATCCCAGCACTCGGGAGGCAGAGGCAGGCGGATCTCTGTGAGTTTGAGACCAGCCTGGTCTACTGAGCGAGTTCCAGGACAGCCAGGACTGTTCCACAGAGAAACCCTGTCTCAAAAAAACAAAACAAAATAAATAAATAATAATAATAATAAATTTTATAATTGGCTAGACTATAAAGTCTTCAGAGTAAGTTTATGGAAAACAGGTATTTAAAGAAAATTGTGGAAGGCTTCACAAAATTGACAAGTGTTATGGTGGAGGTTCCACCCAAGTCCCCCTCCAAACACTACTGCATCTCAGAAAGCCCACCAAATGATGACCCCTCCCCCAGAGATGCTCAAGACCACTCCCACAAGGTATTTAAACTGCTCCCCCCCCCCCCCCAGAAAATAGACGTGGTTTTTCAGGTCTCCCTTTCCAAACTCTTCCTCTCTGGGGAGGCTGGAAGGCCATCTGGGAGTGTTGTACCCATTAAACGTGGGCTTTTTCTAATTTGGCTTGTTTTGGTCTGATTTGGATTGCTGCATTGGCAGAGATTCCCCCCCCCCCCAAGTGGCCGAGGACCACGTGGTGTGAAAACACCCTTTCCCACACCAACCACTCTCTGCTAGGCTAACAGCTGGGAAAGTTGTCCTTTCCAAATCATTGTCTTAGAGGCCCAGAACCTCCTACGATTTTCGGGGTGTCCTGTGAAAGACAACGAGGCTGTTCCAAGCCCCCGACCTGTTAGTGGGACAAGGTTCTGCCTTGCCCAGTGGGAACCCTCCTTCAGAAGATGTTCTGTTCAAGGGATTCTCCCACACCCACACCCCCTCTGTTTCTGACTCAAGGCCTACCACAGTGGACGCATTGCATTAGGCTTTGGGTTCTGGCATTGACTTGTGAAACGGGCACCTGCCATTTGAAACCAGATCCCCAAACGCCCTTGGGCTGCCTTTCACAAAATCTGTTTAAATTGGGGCTATCTGACACCATATGTCCTGAACACCTGATTTCTCTGCACTGAGGCTGCCCTCAATGTGTCCTTTGACAATGGGACACGATGGCCACCGGAGATGACCACGGGACAGATGACCACCAGGGCGATCTTTTAAACTTGCCATCCTCGGTGATCCTGAAATATTTCCCCACGTGGGGACAAGTGAACAGAACCCCCATATGCGCAGTTTCTGGACACTGCGCTCCTTCTCTTCCGCCTCAGCCAGAGTCTCACAGCACAGGTCTTGTCCGCTAGGCTCATGGCGCCTTCAGATTCCTGCCCATCTGGGAACTGGGACCCTGAAGATTCCACCCTGACCTGTAGCCTGAGACATTGGCCCCTTCCCCACCCCCCAGCCCTGCCTGCCCACCCCCCTCCTACGGGGCCACATTCCTCTCATTCCTCCCCCATCCGCCTCTTTCCCCTCCCCTCCCCTCCAGGGCAAAGGTCGAGTAACGACTTCCTCCTCCTTTCCCACCTTCCTCTTCCCCTCTCCTTATTGCCCCTCCCTATGCTTGACCTAGCCTCCCTAGGAGCCACTGTCCTAGCTACCCAGTTAATTTATCAAAGTCAGCTCCAGATATTAGAAAGCCATTTAAAAAAGGCCGCGCAGGGGTCCCCAAACTCCCATATAGGAATTGGTTAAAAATGACTTTTAAAGTTTTCAGCGCCCAATCCCAGCACTCGGGAGGCAGAGGCAGGTGGATCTCTGTGAGTTCGAGGCCAGCCTGGTCTACAAAGTGAGGTCCAGGACAGCCTACAAAGCTACAGAGAAACCCTGTCTCAAAAAACCAAAAAAAAAAAAAAAAAGTTTTCAGTGCCCGAGACAGACAAGGCCATGTTCCGAGCCTAAGCCTTAGCAGCTGCCCTGAGGTTACAAGGGGTACTAGGGAAGTCAACCACCCACGTGGCTCCATGCTGCTGCAGCTCAACCCAAGTCAACTCCACTAGGAGCCTGCTACAAATTACAGGACACTGGAAATCAGAATGCCCCAGTACAGGTTTGTCCTCTATGCCAAGCCACGGAGGTCCAGCCTCACCAACACTGGCAGCTAAGACTGTGTCAGCCTTCGAACTCCTCAGCTTGGTGGAGAACTGATGCAGCCCAGACTTGGTGACTCCCATTGTCCTCTCTGACCTAGGGTAACGCTGCAGATAGCAGCAAGTAAGTTCATTTTCTTTCTTTTTTGTTGTTGTTGTTTTGTTTTGTGCAAGGCAGGGTTTCTCTGTATTTTGGGGGGCCTTTCCTGGAACCAGGAACCAGGCTGGCCTCGAACTCACAGAGCTCTGCCTGCCTCTGCCTCCCGAGTGCGGGATTGAAGGTTAATTCCCTTTCCTAACTTCAGTGAGTTTTGTTCTCAGGAGTCAGCTCTCCCCTTCCACCACTTGGAATCCTTGGACCCTCGGGCTGGGCCACATGACCTGCTACTCCCTTCTCTGGTGGAATTTTTCTTTCCTGAACTGGAGATTAAAGTTAGAACCTGCCAGACAAACACTCTGACAATGAACTTCATCCCCAGCCCTTTTTCACTGCGTATTCTGAGGCAGTCTCGCTAAGCGGCCCACACTAGCCTGGCGCTTGTGGTAGTCTTGCTGCAGCCTCCCTGGGTAGCGGGGATCACTGGCCTGCACCACCTGGCTTCCTCTTTAGAAAATATACTTTGTCGTTGAGTCTGGGTCATTTCACTTAATATGATGATTTCCACTCCACATGTCTTTTTTTGGGGGGGAGGGAGAGGTTCAAGACAAGGTTTATCTGTGGCTTTGGAGGCTGTCCTGGAACTGGCTCTTGTAGACCAGACTGGTCTCAAACTCACAGAGATCCACCTGCTTCTGTCTCCCGAATGCTGGGATTAAAGGCATGCGCCACCACTGCCAGTCTCCACGTGTTGTTTTTTTTTAATATTTATTTATTATGAATACAACATCCTGCCTCCATGTCTGTCCTCAAGCCAGAAGAGGACACCAGATCTCATTACAGATGGCTGTGAGCTACCATGTGATGGCTGGGAATTGAACTCAGGACCTCTGGAAGAGCAGCCAGTGCTCTTAACCTCTGAGCAATCTCTCCAGCCCCTCCACATGTTTCCTTACAGGTGGAATTTTTGTTCTTTATGCCAGCATAGCCTTTAAAAAATAAGTTTATATTTAATAGAAGTCCCGGGGTTTCAGCCAGAAGCAGAAGGTCCTCCATATCGGGTCCGTTCTCCCCTCTGCCTTCCTGCCTCCTGCCTGAAGGATCTAAGCCTCCAAGGCCCGTGCACACAGTGCTGTCTCAGTTTGCTGTACTTTCCCCACATTCCAAATCTCCATGACTCACGGCCTCCTCTCCCGCAGATCTCTGCTCTTGCAAGAGCTTGTCCCTGACCGCTTTATATAAAATAGCATTCTGGCTGGAAGAGTGGAGGAGTGTTTTGTTGGAGTTCACCAGAGAGGGATGGGGGTGTGCCTAGGAACACTTTAGTGAGGGTTTGAGAGCATAGCTCAGTGACAGTGCTTAACTAGGATCCACCAGCGGGGATCTGGGGCGGGGTCTACTGGTAGAATGCTTGCCCGAGGTGCCTAGGTTCCATCCAGCCATTGGCTCAACAAAAACTGTCTCCTGTACCTTTGCCCATACTTTTCACCATTTACATTGTTGATTCATTGCTGTTCTATGTCTTGACTGTTTCTTCCCCCAAAATAGCAACCCACAAGGGAGGGAAGGGAACCTTTGCTCAGATTCCATTCCAGCCGTGGCCTCTGAAGCTGTGTCTGGCAGGGAGGAAACTTTCTAAATCCTATGTGAAGGAATGAATAAGGCTCAAAACCACAGGGAGGGCCAGGTGTGGTAACTCAGGCCCATAGGCCAACACTTGGGAGGATGGGCCATGAGGTCTTCTAGCTCAAGGTCAGTCTGGGCTACAAGGAGACCATGTTTAACAAAACAACAAATCCCAAAATACTGCTGCAGTTAGGGGCTGGTGAGAGACCAGCAGGTAAACGTAATTAATGCCAAGCCCTATGTCTCAGGGTTTCTACTGCTTCAAGCAAATACCATGACCCCCCAAAAAAAGACAAGTTGAGGATTTATTTATTCATTTATTTTTGGCTTTTGAGACAAGGTTTCTCTGTATTGCTTTGGAGGCTGTACTGGAACTCACTCTTGTAGACCAGGCTGGCCTTGAACTCAGAGATCCGCCTGCCTCTGCATCCCGAGTGCTGGGATTAAAGGCGTGCGCCACCAACGCCCGGCTTGGAGGTATTTTCTTAATTGAGGCTCCCTCAGATGACTCGAGCATCTGTTGACATAAAACTACTCAGCACACCAAACGACTTGAGATTTATCCTCACTGATTTCTGCAAGTCGTCCTCTGATCTCTATGTGTGGCGCGCGCACGCGCGCGCGCGCACACACACACACAGA